CTCGGGACTCTGCTCCCGGGTGGGAGCTCAGGAGAACTTGTAATCAGCAGTAACAAACTTTTCCTCTCACTAGGAGGGCTCACGATTTAGGAGATAATTCCTCCGTTGCACTTGGCCTTGTTCCAAATGTTCAACTCTTGTGAAGGTTCTGAGAGCTATTCATGCCACCCTCACAATGTTTGTTCATGCGTTTGTTAAAAATTGCCCTCGTCCCTCTGTGATCCCTCAATTCATCCCCCACGAAAGCTCCGAAGACTGCCATTATGCAGATGACCTATCTGTCTGGACTCTACACAAATTCAGCTCCTCCAAGGGGACTCCCCAAATGGCTAACGTCCTTGTGCACAACTATGAAAAGTAACCCCATGTGAGATGCAGTGGGAGTTGTCATGGGGGAAAGAAACAAACCAGCTCAACACCAGCGAGGCAAGGCTGTCCCCTTCGCCATCTTGGGAAGTTTGAAAACTAGGCTGCATGCCCGTGTCTCCTCTCTGCCGCTTACCCTCTAAGACAGCTCGTTTGATGGTGAAGGAAAAAAGTTGAGGGCAAACAGGAATTGGTTCTCTAGGTCAGGTACAAGACATATGACACACCTAGAGAATCCGACGCATGACATCACTCCCATTCCGGAAAAGCATCCACCTCTGTCTGGGTGTCTGTCAGCACAAAAGGAGTACCTCAGCCCTGGCAACAAAGCTGGAGAGGCCTAGCGATAGTTTTCCAACACTTTTGTCTAAAAGTGTTTAGTTCCTTCCTTCCCTGAAGGGAACACTGGTTTGAAGTAACGTTGCCATCCATTTCGGTTGGATTTCTTTCGAACGGACGGCGGGGTAGGAGTTATTTTCTAACCCATGGTCCTTGACTCTGGTTCATGTAGGAGAAAAAAGGGTTAAGTCCTCTGAGTAAAACATTGTCAATCACTAGTGACTGCCACCGAGATGAAAAACAAGCTGCACCTGTACATGGGCAATTTAAGAGATTCTGGTCAGCTATTTTTCTCTGGTGCTTTGTTCTGCCAGCTGCCTCTGTGCTTTGGATGCAGGTGGAAGCATGGACTTTGCTATCTATAAAAAAATTTAATGGTGAAGATCAACTTCCGCTTCGCCTCCCCAGGGATCAAAGTTTTGGGGCTTTTTTTTTTTTCCTCCCTTGCCCTGAAAGACTAGTCGAGCAAAGCGCAGCTCAGACAATGGGTATGTTGTCGAGATGCCCATTCTCCCCCAGAAAAGTAGCAGGAGATCTCTTCGTGGGTTAGGACTTCTCTTCCCAGTGTGAAGGAAATAACGGAAACTGGGAGATGCATGCCTCCACAGGGTGAGGTCAAGCATCTGTTGAAAGGAGGGCTAGAGTTGACAGACAGCTGGGGAACCTCATTATTGCCACTGCATTTCCCGTCAGCCGCCATCAGGAGCCTGATGGGGAGCCGGTGGAGACGCCGTGGAAGTGACAGGCTCTGTGCCTGGGGGCGGGAAGGATGCTCCGACATACATGCGGCCTAATCTCTGTGGAAGCAGGGTGTCCAAATCTAATATCCTGTCAGATTACTTGCTGTCACACAATCAATGGCAAATAACATGTGTAGGTAGAAAAGCTTAAAAATCACACACTCTGGATGAGCTACTGCAAGAAACTCAGTGGCTTGTCTCACCAATGACGTTATCAAAGTTCTTGTATTCAGCATTTATTGCATACCAGGTGCCAGGCACAGAATTAGTTATTGGACAGTGGTGCTTATGGGCTGAACTGTGTCTCCCCAAAATTCATGTGTTTAATTCCTAATCCCTAATACATTGGAATGTGACTGTATTTGGAAATAGGACCTTCAAAGAGGTAATGCAATTACAATGAGGCTATTCGGGTGAGTGCTCATCCAGTCTGACTAGTGTCTTCATAAGAAGAAGAAATTTGAACTCACAAAGAAGCACCAAGGGTCCATGCACGGAGGAAAGACCAAGGGGGCCACAGCAAGAAGGCAGCTGTCTATAAGCCAAGGAGAAAGGCCTCAGAAGAAACCAAATCTGCTGAATATCCAGTCTCCAGAACTGTGAGAAAATAAATACCTGTTGTTTAAGCCACCGCTGTCCCCATCAGTGGTGTTTTGTTATGGCAGCCTGAGTCGGCCATGACAGCAGTGAACAAGACAGGCTTCCAACCTGTTGAAGAACGCACAGTCTCATGCCCACATAAGCAAAGGAAAAAGGGAGGTGACTACAGGCACTTTTTTTTTTTTTAAATTTTTTTTTCAACGTTTATTTTTGGGACAGAGAGAGACAGAGCATGAATGGGGGAGGGGCAGAGAGAGAGGGAGACACAGAATCGGAAACAGGCTCCAGGC